GAGAATGGATTTGTTTCGTTTGCAATATGCGGCGGTGAAACATTATATAGCAGAGAAAACGAACAAGCTACAATGACATGGATGGGTTTTAGAGACACGAGCGGTGAAAAAGACAAGTCCCAGAAGACAAAACTACACACTATATTAAGCATACAGCTGGCAGCAGGCTACTTCTCCCAGCCAGGGAGGGGGTTAGCTTTTGCCTATCCGAATGATTAAAGTTTTACAAGCAAGAACACAGTTGTCTCTGTGGGGTAGGCAGGGATGCAGGAAAGGGGAGGGAGGAAACAGAGGCGGGCATTTCTAGTGCCACTCTGGTCTTTAAGTGGGACATGGGTTTTGAGAGGTTCACTATATTGTTATGTTTTATAATTTACAAGAATGATCTATGCCACCATTTGTATGTATCACAGTAATTTTTTTTAATGTGTATTTATTTTTGAGACAGAGGGAGACAGAGCATGAACGGGGGAGGGTCAGAGAGAGAGGGAGACACAGAATCGGAAACAGGATCCAGGCTCTGAGCTGTCAGCACAGAGCCCGACGCGGGGCTCGAACTCACGGACCATGAGATCATGACCTGAGCTGAAGTCGGACGCTTAACTGACGGAGCCTCCCAGGTGCCCCATGTATCACAGTTATTAAAAGGTGAAAGAAAGAGGGACGCCTGGGTGGCTCCGTCGGTTCAGTGTCCGACTCTTGATTTTGGTTCAGGTCATGATCTCATAATTCGTGAGACTGAGCCCCAAGTCGGACTCTGTGCTGAGCCTTTTTGGGATTTTGTCTCTCTCTCCCTCTGCCTCTTCCCTGCTCGTGCATGCAAGAGCACCCTCTCTCTCTCTCTCTCTCTCTCTCTCTCAAAAATAATAAACGTTTTTTAAAAAGCACTAAAAAAGTGAAAAAAGGACAGAGATAATCAAATTAAAATAAGGAGATACTTTTTTGCCTATCAGTGATTAAAGTGTTAAGAGTGGTTATTTCTGCAATGATGAGATTATGGGCTGCTTTTTTTTTTTTTGGCTTAACTGTATTTTCCAGAAATTTTAAGATTAACAGCCACAGTGTTTTTATATTTAAAAACTGAGTTTTTAACTTATAAAAAAATGAACTGCATCTATAGCATGATTCCTTAAAAAAAAAAAAAGACAACTATCGGGGCGGGCGGGGGGGCGGTGCCTGAGTGACTCAGTCGGTTAAGCATCTGACTTTGGCTCAGGTCATGATCTTGTGGTTTGTGGGTTCAAGTCCCGTGTCGGGCTCTGTGCTGACAGCTCGGAGCCTGGAGCCTGCTTTGGATTCTGTGTCTCCCTCTCTCTCTGCCCCTCCCCCGCTCGCAATCTGTCTTTCTCAAAAATAGACATTAAAAAAAAATTTTTTTAAGTATATAACTATCTATGCCTATATATTTGTACACAAAAAGTCTGGAAGAATCCACACTGGACCACTGGCAGTAGTTTCCCCCTGGAGAATGGATGTGGGGCAGGAAGGGTGGGTGCTACCTTTATTTTCTGCTTCATAAAGTTTCAGGCTGTTTACATTGGACTCATTTGTTAATACCACTTTGTTTTAAATTAAAACCAAGGGGGGGGGGTGTGCCCAAGGTCCTTCCTCCAGGTTGTGTAGACACTGCCCACCAGGCAGTGGGGCTCAGTGGGGAGGGCCAAAGGTGGATTCGAGGCTTCTTGCCCCTCTGGTGTCCACCTCCATCCGCTTCCTGAGCCGCACCCCACTTCAGCCCCAGACCTCTCACCCTGCCAGCAGGAGGACACAAAACCACAGGGCAGGGAGCAGGGCAGCCGGGTGGGAAGCTTGGTTATGGGGGTTCAGAGAACAGGAGCCCCTTGCCCAAAGTCACCCCTCAGGTTAGAGCCTCTACCAGGGGTGGGGGGGTCCTGTCCCCAGCTCTTCTTCCTGCCCCAGGCCAATGACAGGGACTAGGGAGACCACAGTGTTGCAGAACCAGTTCCTGGACCAAACCCGGACCTGGAGCTCCCCCCTCAGGCCTGCCGGGCCAAGGCTTATTCCAGGAAGCTCTGCTTCCCTTTTCCTGGGCCCCCCCCCAAAAGAACCACTTCAATAATAACAAGGATAAGAAAAACAGCCCCAGTGTGTCGCATGCCAGGTGCTTTCTCCTGTGCTAAGCACTTTGCAGATACACCTCACTGAATCCTTAAAATAACCTATGCGATGGGTACTACTACCCTCCAGAGGGAGAAAGTGCCACTTGGGGTGCGCACAGGTGCCCAGGCTGGGATTCCCCCAGGCCTATCTGCTGAATAACCACAAGTCATTCTGCCCCAAAGCCCAAGGCCTGCCCCACACCCACGGCAGGGCTTTCATGGACGGGTGGCCATGGCCAATTCTGGTACTGTTCTCCAACTCTGCCCGGAGCGGGTCCTCCCCACAGAGCTGCCCGGAGCGGGTCCTCCCCACAGAGCTGCCCATCCATGGTGTGGGGGAGATGGCCTCTGCTTCAGGCCTTCTTGTCCCAGGGTGGGGGTCCTGAGTGTGACCACCTTCCCTTCTTATCCCTTAGCAATCTTTGCACTGTTGGGATTTTTCCCTTCCGCGGGGCCCTAGAAGGAGCCCTCAGAGACTCCCTCACCTGCCACCCTAGCTCCCAATTTACACAGACCCAAACCAAGGCCCCGAGAGGGGTCAAGACTTGCCCAGGTCTCTCCCTCCTGGGTCCTGGGCACAGCCAGTGTGGGAGTCAAGCCTGGGAACTCCAGGCTCTTTTCCTCTGGACAGAAAAGAGGCCAGTGAGCGTCTCTGGCAGGTGTGGGCCTGCACACAGGAGCTGCTCCCAAGCGCATGTTCCCAAGACCTGGGCAGTGGGTCTGGAACCAGGAAGTAGCTGGCCCCAAGTTCCTTCTGAGAAGAGGCCCCTTAAGACACCGCCAGGCTGTGAAGCTCACCTGGTTTCCCCTCTGACCTCAGGAGGAAGTAGATGAGTCCTCAGCAGGCCTGCTGAGGGGACAAAGGAGCAGGGGTGTGGACAGGAAAACAGATCCCCGAAGGGGGGCCGCACACAAGGTGCCCCACCCGGCCACACTCCTCAGAGCTGGGAGGAAGGTCCCGCCCCCAACTCACCTCCTGGAAGCTGCTGGAGCTGCAGTGGCAGAGAAGGGGCTTCCTCGGAGAGCCTTCAGCAGGCCCAGAACCAGTCACCAGAGCAGCCAGGGGTCATTGTCTTTGGCCCGGAGGAAGAAACTGGTGGACGGTGCCTGCCAGGTCACCATCCCAGAAAGACACATTATTTAGGCCAACCCAGCAATAAACATCCCACCCGGGGGCAGGACCAGGACAGAGGCTCCTCTGTGCACTGGGCCCAGGGGCTGAGCCAGCATCTCCTGGGGGACGGAGGAGGAGGAGGCAACCTCTTGGAAGGGGTGTGAGTTCAAATCTCCCCAGAAACAGCAGACTCTGTCCTTGGAGACCCAGGACAAGACTGTGAGCAGGGAGGCAGCTGGTCAGGGCCAAGGAGGGCAGGGCCGATGCTGAGCAAGGGAGATCCCATTGAAAATGATAGTCCCACACATCAAGTGTCATCCCTGGGGCCACCTCGGTGAATTCATACAATCCCATGAGGTAGGGACTACTTTTTTTTTTTTTTTTTTTTCTTTTTTAAAGTAGACTCCATGCCTACATGGGGCTTGAACTTACAACCCCCAAGTCAAGAGTCGCACGCTCTACCAAGCCAGCTGGGCGCTCCAGTGAGGACTACTTTAATATCTTTCACAGATGAGGAAACTGAGGCCAGGAGGAAGGCACTAATCTGCCAGGATCCCACGGCAGGAGCCTGAGGGAGGCCAGGTCTCACTCCAGAGCCCTCCCTCCGAGCCTGGAAGTTCCCCCACCAACCCTCTGCCTGCCAGGTTACATCCCACCCTTACCTCTGCCCAATACCTGCTCAGAGACACTGGCCACTGCCAGGCCAGCAGCTGGCGTTCGGCTGCCAGCCTGCTCCTACTTCCCCAGCTCAGGGCTCTCCCCGCTCCTCCCACGCTTGCAGAGCCTTCTGGGCCTGCCTGGCACTGGGGCGGGGGAGGCCGGGCGCATAAAGCAGCGCCGTGGGCCAGGGGCCGGGTCTCCAGGCTCTCCTGAGAAGGCTGGGGGCAGCAGGGGGAGTGTGCTCCCTGGCACCCCGGCTCTGTGGCACCACTGGCCACATAGTTTGCGGGGTGCAGCGCCAAATGAAAGTGTGCAGCCCCTTGTGACAAAGCACTGTTAAGAATTTCAGGTTGACAACAGCAGAGCGTTACGCTAAGCATAAGATCCTAAACAACTGCGCAAGTCACATGCCCGTGAGGTGGGCCCCAAGCCCTGGAGCTGGGGGAGCTAGGACCCCAGGGCTCCTCCATTGCAGCTGACAGCCTGAGGTCCTGGGGTCCTGGTTTTTCATTAGTTTCCTGGTCTCCAGATTAAGGATGTGCTAACTCTGTCCCGCTCCCCAAGGTGGCCCCAGACCCTTGTTCACCGGCCCTTGCTGTTTACTGGTGAGTCTGTTTTTCCCACCCTACAGGTGAGGAAACTGAAGCTCTGCCTGCCTTTCTTGCAGTGTGACCAACTTCAGAGTTAACAGGGGATTTAACGGGCAAGATCCTTGGAATTTAACCCACGGAGCAGGGAGGTGACACGGGGCGGGGCACTTTCCTTCCCACCCTGAGTCATTTCCTCCCAAGCTCTGGACTCTCCTCCCACCGGTACAGGACAAGGGGTACCCTGGAAGCTGCTGAGGTGGGGCATTCCCCGTGCCAAGTGCAGCCAGGGAGCCAGACTTCCCGGCCTGGTGAGGAAGAGGCTTCCTGACTTGGCGGGGAAGCAGGTAGGCTCCTGGGGAAGAAACACGTGGGCAGGTTAAATGACAGAAGTCCAGTCGGCTGTGGGCCCGGGGAGGGGCCCAAGGACCCAGCCTGCCCTCGAGTCAACAGGTTATGGGATTGTGGCAGGGAGAGGAGCCCCAATCCCCACCCCCAGACACATGACCACACTTCAGACAGGCTTCCAGAAAACACATGTTTACCCGTACACTCCAGAGGCGGCCCTGGCAGTCACAGTTCAAAGGCCCCTTCGCCCAACGAACCCCAAGCTCCAGCCTGGGAAATGTGGCACCGAAGGCAGGTGGAGGGGGGACAGTGAAGAAGGACCAGGGCTGTTGAAAGATCGAAGATCACAATGCTGGTGAGTTGAGGGGCCATCAGCCCCGGGGGCAAAGGCCACTGGACAGACCCAGAGGGGGGGGGTGAACCCCAAAATGAAGATTTGGATTACTCAGAAAGTGGGGTGCAGGGAAGGGCTGCAAAGGTCACCACAGTCCTCCTCTTCTCCCCCTCAAGTCGGGAGGCCTGAGATGGCTCCAAGTGTCCCCAGGGTAGGGCCAGAAGAGACCTTAGGTCCACTAGGCATGTGGCAGGAGACAGGATCCATAAATTAAATGTTTCCGGTGGAGTGTGGAACGGAGGCCCGGTGAGGGCCTTGTGGCTGGCTAGGCGATGGGGCTACTGGGTCCTCCACGATGGGTGGGCAAACACAATGGGCCTCTTCTTGGCCCAGCGGGAGAACACGGCCTTCTCAGTGATGAAGCGGTGGGCGCTGCGGGGCGCCCGCTCGTGGGCCAGGTACATCTGACATTCGTCCAGCCGGCCCTTCTCAAAGTAGTGGTAAGGCACCGAGGGGTGGCTCTCCTCCCTGCGGGTGGGGAAGAGGGACAGGCGTGGGGCACCTAAGCTTGCCTGCCTCCCGCCACACCCTGCCACCTACCACGACCAGCCCCTCACCAGGGACTCCCTGCCGGAGCACCCCCATGCCTGGTCCCGGGGAAGGTCAGGACAGACAGGGGAGGCGCAGGGCAGCCCACGGATCCCACGGGCCAGGGTTTGACCCTGGCTCTGGCTCTTGCAAGCTGGCCGCTTCTAGGCTGGAGACGTACTCTGTGAGCATAAATAACCTGTCTGTAAAACGCAGACGGTCACCTGAGACCACGGGTCAAAAAGATGTAAGATTGCAAAGCGCCTTGCGGGTTCGGGGCTTCCGGTGAGCGTCCCGTCAGTCCCCGCGGCTGCACCCCCACCCGCTCATCAGCACCGTGCACACTGGCCGTCTGGCCCGGGGCCATGGCAGAGGGCGCACATGGGCTGTCATCTGGCCCACGTGCTCACCAAGCAAGCTCCAAGAGAACAGAAAACAAAGACCCGGGGCCCGTCCTGTCCCTTGTGCACATGTTCCTTACAATAATACTGAACTGTTGTGATATCAACGGCAACAGCTTCGACGCAGCTGGTGCCTGATGATGCCCTTCTGAGCACCTCGGTAGATTTATTCTCTCTCTAAACGTTTCTACGACCTTCTGGGGAAGGTGTGATCGCTCTCTCTTTTACATATGAGGAAAGGGAGGCCCTGGGCCCCAGGGGTGTCTGAGCCTCAGCCGCCCACGGGGGAGCCCACACACCCCGTGCCCCAAGCTCCCCCAGGGTGAGGCCAGGACAGGGGGCCCACGGTCCTCCCCGCCCCGGCCTTTCCTCCCGCCTAGCACCCGGCTGGCCTGACCTGCAGTAGCTGTCGCTGACCATTCCGTAGACCACGATCTCCTCGCACAGCTCCAGGGCGAGGATCATGGTGAACCAGCCGGTGCTGAGGAAGGAGCCGGACTGTCTCCTGGCGGGAAGGGGCACAGTCAGTGCAGCCGCGTCCCTCCCCAACGCGGGTCTGAGCAAGGAAGGGGCTGTGCGACAGGCCCAGCCTCAGCTGTCTCCAGGCACGGCGCTGGCCACTCTCCCAGCCAAGGGCCCTCACCTCGACCCCTACAGAGGGGGCCCTGGGGAAGGCTGGGGAGGGGACAGAGCCAGCCCGAGATCAGCAGCAGGAAAGAGGTGCAGCTGGACGCCAACCCAGGCTTGTTCAGCCCCTCACCACCCACAAGGGGCTTGAGCAAACCCCGAGACGATCATGTGAGGCCACTGAGCACAGCGGGTGAGAGTGGGGAAGACCCCTGTCTGAATTCAAGTTGGTCTCCAATTCAAACCCTACGTCTGCCCTAGGGTATCAGCTTTGCTCACAAACCTCTCTGAGCCTCACTGACCCATCTGTGGAATGGGGAGAATTATATAGGTAGTTATGGGGAGGGAACACTGTCAGCTCAGCACCTCCCCTGGTCCCCACACCCAACTGGGAGCGAGGGACTGTGTGGGCAGCCCAGGGCTCAACTCTCTCAATGCACCAGCACTGGTTACCCTCCCAGACGAGGGCTACTCACATCCACCTTGACAGAAGGGTTATGGGGTGGCTCACTCTTTCAAACTGGGTGGCTAGGAACCTGCCATGGCCGGTGCTAACATTCTCAAGGGAGGGCCAGGAATGCTGAGACAAGAAGGGGACAAAGAATGTCAGGCAGGGAAGGGCACCTTCAGACGGGGTGGTCGTGGAGGGCTTCTCTGATGAGGTGACATCCCACCCAGACCTGAATAGCAAGAAGGAGTCAGTCACAGGGAGGCGTGAGAGGAGAACATTCTAGACGGAGGGAAAACATGTATGAGCCCTGCAGGTGAGAACCAGTGTAGAGATGTGAGGAGGCCCAGAGGACGGGCAGGTTGAGAGAAGGGAGATGATGAGATCACGGAGGCGGGCCTCGTAGGAGGCTTACAGGCCAGGGGAGGGGAGGGACGAGAGCCTGGACTTTATTCTCCACGTGAAGGGAAGCCTCCGTCAGGTTGCAGGCGGCTGGCGCTCAGACTGCAAGGGGACAAGAGTGGCGGCAGCAAGGGGCTGCTACAAGCACAGCGGAGGCTGGGGCGTAATGGTGGCTTGGGTCCGGGTGGCACCTGTGGGCACAGGAGAGTCAAGAGGCCACCATATGCCGCAGGTGATGGAATGAAAGGAGGCGGGTACAAAGCCCAGGTTTCTGGCTGGGAAACTGGAGGCTGGCGGCCGGATTTCCAGAGCTGTGGTGGGGGTGGGAGGAGCCGGCGTGCGGAGGAGGAGGCTGGGAGGAGTCTGAGTGTGAGATGAAAGGAGATCCTCAAGGCAGAGGGCTTAAGGCAGTGCCTGGTGCAGGAAGAGGGCCGTTTGTACCGTCACTGTTACTTCTGTCATCTGGCAGGGACTTCAGAGGCCAATTCAGATCTCAGGGAGTATCCCCTCCCGAGGCCAGAGCTCCCGACACCGCTCCCCGCGGCAGTGCTCCCCAGCCTGTGCTCGTAAGGCCGGCCACCGTAGGGGCTTTTGGATCTATGTGCTAACTCGACGAACGACAGTCTCTCTGATTCTGTCCCCCATCAGAGGCAGGAGCATGTCTGCCTCCCTCACTGCTGAACCCCAGCGCCCGGTGGAGCAGACCCGTGATGGACAAGAAGCGGCTTGAGAAGGCAGGTCCCCAGCCAGCAGGGAGACCCCCCGCAGGCCGGCCCCAGGCTCACCGGTTCTTGCCCGTCTCGTCCTGGAAGACCTGGTCGCAGTAGGCCATCATGCGCTCCGTGAAGGTGTAGACCTGCAGGCCCGGGTACATCTTCGTGAGCTGTAGCAGTGTGCGGTAGGTACGGCCGCCCAGCGCCCGGTCCATGTGCCTGCCCTGGCCCCACACCACGTAGAGCGTGTCACGGGCGTGCTGGAAGTAGTGGGAGTAGTTGCGCAGCAGCAGAGGCACACTCGTGTGCGAGACCACGCGCAGGGTGCTGCGCCGGCCCACGTCGGCCTCAAAGCCCACGGTGGGTGCCTGGTTCATGCGCAGCACGCACTCGGCACTGTCGATCTCCGCGCCCAGGCCCGAGCCCAGCATCTGGCCGGAGCTGGACACCACGGCACAGCTACGGCATGGTTCTCGGACCAGCGGCTGCAGGGAGAGGCAGAGAGGAAGAGAAAGGGATGAGCACACAGCTCCCACATCCCCGTCCCTCCACCCGGTAACAGCCACCGCCTTCACATGGCCCCTGTATCAGCTGCAAGTACGGCGTCAACCCATTTTGCAGATAAGGAAATCGAGGCTGAGCCGGGGGAGTGACTTTCCTACGGTCACATGGATAGCAAGTGGCAGGGCTGAGACTCTGCGTTCAGAGCCCCATCCTTCCTCATTGGCCACCTTCATGTCCCTTTTCCCTATTGCTGAGGCCCTAATACGCCCTCCATCGTGGGTTTTTTTTTTGTTTTTTTTTTTAACGTTTATTTATTTTTGAGACAGAGAAAGACAGAGCATGAACAGGGGAGGGGCAGAGAGAGAGGGAGACACAGAATCAGAAGCAGGCTCCAGGCTCTGAGCCATCAGCCCAGAGCCCGACGCGGGGCTCGAACTCACGGACCGCGAGATCGTGACCTGAGCTGAAGTCGGACGCCCAACCGACTGAGCCACCCAGGCGCCCCATCGTGGGTTCTTTATTACGGTTACGTGAGCAAACATTTATAAAGCACTTGAAGCGGTACTTAGCACACACTGGTACCAGGGGTCATATATGTGCTTGTTAAGCAAACGTGAACCTCGGCTCTTCACAATGACTCTTAGGCCACTTCCTCCTCTGCCTGAGCCCCACTCATGTTGTGCCCGGTTTGTAAGTAAAAGAAGGGTCTTTAGTCTTTAAGGTTTCACAACATTGAGAGCGTCTGGCTTGGAGCCTGAATCCTGGTTCTGCCACTTCCTCTGTCTCTCTGAGCCTCAGTTTCCTCATCTGTCAAATGGGGATGAAAATAGCATTTACTTGACCAGGTTGTGAGAGGACTCAATTAAAAATGCCTGGAGGGGGGGCGCCTGGGTGGCGCAGTCGGTTAAGCGTCCGACTTCAGCCAGGTCACGATCTCGCGGTCTGTGAGTTCGAGCCCCGCATCGGGCTCTGGGCTGATGGCTCAGAGCCTGGAGCCTGTTTCCGATTCTGTGTCTCCCTCTCTCTCTGCCCCTCCCCCGTTCATGCTCTGTCTCTCTCTGTCCCAAAAATAAATAAAAAACGTTGAAAAAAAAATTAAAAAAAAAAAAATGCCTGGAGGGGCGCCTGGGTGGCTCAGTCAGTTGAGCCTCTGACTCTTGATTTCGGCTCAGGCCCTGATTCCAGGGTTGTGGGATCAGGCCCCCGAGTGGGGCTTTGCACTGAGCGTGGGACCTGCTTGAGATTCTGCCTCTCTCTCCCTGCCCCTCTCCCCCACTCACGTGCATTCTCTCTCTCTCTCTCTCTCTCTCTCTCATAAAAACATAATAATTAGGGGCGCCTGGGTGGCTCAGTCAGTTGAGTGTCTGACTTCGGCTCAGGTCATGATCTCAGGGTTCGTGAGTTTGAGCCCCATTGGGTTCTGTGCTGACAGCTCGGAGCTCGGAGCCTGCTTCGGATTCTGTGTCTCCCTCTCTCTCTGCCCCTCCCCCCACTCATGCTCGGTCTCTCTCAAAAATAAATAAACATTAAAACAATTTTTTTAAATAGTAATTAAAATAAAATAAAACTGCCTGGGGAATGATTAGCCCAGACCCAGAGGACAGTGAGGGCCCAACCATCTCATTATCCCCCGAGAAGCTGAAGCTGAGCCAACATGTCTACAAATGTTCACTGGCGGTCAGGGGTCCCAGAAAAAGACTTGCTCCCCACCCCATGTCTCCATGCCCTCCCGAGAGGACACGGGTTTACGATGGTCCCGTATTCCTCTCTGAGATATTTTATATCAGACCTAATGTTGATTTAGGGATTCACAGGCCCATTTTCCATGCCTCCAAAAGACAGCACGATTCCTTTATTCTGCCCACAGTTTGGGCCTATCCTGCCCACTGTGGTCTATTCAGATCTGAGGTCACTGCTAGCCCCAGGAGATATTCAGCTTGTCCCACGCAAGGGCTTTAAACTATTTAACTGCAATCAGATTTTTTTCCGGATATCCAAAACCTGGATTTCTGGCCCAGAGGATCTGGCCACCTCGAGCCCATATCCGAATGAGCTCGAGTGTCTGAAATAAACACCGGCCACCACCACAGAAGATGGGACATCATCTACCCGGCCCACCCCACCTCTTGTCCCAAGTGGCCAAACCCCCAGTGGTTTTACATCTTGATCAAATATTTACATGGCACCTGTTGTGAACACTGGCCACGGATCACCCAGTTAGATCAGCAGAGCAACTCTACAGAGGTAGAAACCAGAAGATTCTTGATTCATCGGTAGAAGTTACCGATGAGGAGGCAACCAAGGCTCAGAGAAATGAAGGCCCAAAATATGTCTCCTCCGAGCCAGGGTCCCTGAACATGCCTCCCTCTGACCTTTGTGCTCAGAGAGCCATCACACTCAGAGCCAGGAGCTTTCTGTGCCGGGTGTCGGTATGGGATGCCTTTGAGAAAGCTACTACGGGGGGCCACTGAAATCAGGGTGAGGGGTATAACGTACTCCAATCTGCACCTGGCAGAGCAAGCATGGGGACGGGGGCGTCATGGGGCAGGGGCCAAAGCTGCCTCATCACCCCTGAGCTCCAGTGTCCCCGTAGCCCCACGAGAGGGAAAGGTCTGGGGCTGACATGACTTTTCTCTATCATCTCCATCCCCAGCAGCGATCATCAGCACAAGACAGGGAGCATCCAAGGCACCAAATACACACTTGCCGAATGAATGGCTTATGTGCAAACATAGTTACATCTAAAGACAGGAGCACCTGGGTGGCTCAGGCGCTTAAGCGTCACGATCTCACAGTTCGTGGGTTCGAGCCCCGCGTCAGGCTCTGTGCTGACAGCTCGGAGCCTGGAGCCTGTTTCAGATTCTGTGTCTCCCTCCCTCTCTGCCTCTCTCCTGCTCATACTCTGTCTCTGTCTCTCTCTCAAAAACAAACATTAAAAAAAATTTTTTTTAAAATACATACACCGAATGATACACAGATCACCATGATGTGAAGGTGTCTGTCTCCCCCACCAGACTGGGAGCTCCAGGGGTGAGCTCCAGGGGTGAGCACCCTGGCCGACTCACCTATTTTACCTCCAGTACCCAGCTGAGAGCAGCCAGACAATATTTACTCAATTAAAAAACAAAAACAAAAACATTTCTAGAGCGCCTGGGTGGCTTATTTGGTTGAGCATCCGACTCTCGATTTTGGCTCAGGTCATGATCCCAGGATGATGGAATTGAGCCCCCACACTGGGGTCCACACTGAGTGTGGAACCTGCTTAAGATTCTTTCTCCCTCTTCCTCGGTCCCTCCCCCCTGCTCGTGCTCACTCTCTCTCTCTCTCTCTCTCTGGAAAAAAAAAAAAAAATTACAAAATAAAAAAAAATAAATCCACTTCCTCTTAGAACTTGGGACTCACAGAGGTGTAGTGACTGCTCAATGTCACACAGCTGGTGAGCAGAGGGGCCAAGCCTGGGGTCCAGGCTGGCCTGGCACGCGCCTGGTTCTCACTTATGCCCAGAGAGTAGGGGGCACCCTGGCCGGCCTGTCTCGACATGTTGTCCGGCCAGCTCACCTTCCCATCTGGCACGCTGCTATATCCGCTGAAGTGCAGGGGCCCTGGCACAGTGGGCCTGGAGTTGGTGGACGGGTGGGGGTCCAGGCAGGGGGCCAGGCAGAAGGACAGGCAGGCCCAGCAGCACAGCAGGATGTAGGCAGCTGAGAAGCCCGAGGAGCACAGGATGACAAGCAGGAGCCGACCCTGGGGGAGACAAACAGTCATGGGGTGTGTGCGGGGGGTGTCCCTGGGGCTCCTCTTAGAAGCTTATGCTGGGGTGCCATGCTCCAGCCTCATGGGTCCAAACCCCAGCTCGGTAGCTTCCAGAACATCAGCAGAGCCCAGAGTTAACCAGGGCTTCCTCTGGGCTGCTCAGGCCCTGGAGACAAGCCCTTTTATTCCTCCCATGTTCTAGATAAGGGATCCGGGATGAAAACCCGAGGCCACACAGCATGGAAACAGGATGGGCCCTTCAATCCAGGCTGCAGAGCCCATACTCTTAACCAGAAGCCTAGGTGCACTCTGTAGCCCTGGGTGCAACTCTCCACCCCTCTGGACCTGCTTCCTCTTCTAAAAACTCAGGGCCCGTAGCACCTGTGAGCTCACCGTGAGGCCAGCGGTAACAGTGCTGTGTAGACTATAATGTGCACAAGAAGACGCAAGAGTGGCCCCTCAGGAGGGCAAACCCTCCTCCTTCAGACCTTGGACTGAGGCCGCCAGGGTGCCCATCCCCTGTCCCCTCCCCCAGCTGACTTGGTGCCGGATCTGGATCAGCAGCCCAGGTGAGTAAGGAGGATGGCAGAAAGGGAAGTGTCACTCAAGAAATGGTTTCAGTAATTGACAGCTGCTGGTTCAGAGGCTCCCACCTCCAGAAAACATGCGCCAAAGGCCACGTGAAGCAGGACGCCCTCCGGGGGCCCGCTGGCCCTCTGAGGGAGTGCCCCCACCAAGCCTTTCAACGAGGAGCCCCGACAGGGCGCACGACCTGCGGCTGCTGTCATGTGCTGGGCCACCCTGGTCACCATCTGTGTCTCTCTGGGCTCTAATATTCTCCCAGCCCGCCCAAGGCAGAGGTCCCTCAGCTGGCCCGCAGAACCCACCCAGCAGCTGGCTGGTACTCTGAAAATCGGAGGTGGGAAATGCAGCTCCCCGCCCCCGCTCCCCTCCCAGGGCATATCCTGCCGGAGGCCCACCCTTCTCTGCCCACAAGCCACATCAGCTTCTAAAAATAAATCTGTCTGTGGCCAGCTGTGCGGGGGAGGGGGTTCAGCCCCTGAGGCCTCAGGCTCTGCCCACAAGGGGCCCAGAGACCCGGATTCAGGCAGTGGTGGTGGACTCCCCACAACATCCAGGGTCCTCTCCCACAACCAGCAGCTCCTAAATAAAGTTGAGGGCAGCTAAACTGAACTTTCGCACCATATCCCCCTCCCAGGTGGGTGCCTCACCTGGGTGACCTAGGGGATACCCACAAGAGGTAGTACTGTTATCTCCTCATTACAGGGGAGGCGCACAGGGCACTGAGACCAGAGAGGGAACACCACTTGTCTGAAGCCACACAGCCTGCCAGATCAGGCAGGGCTTTGAGGCCAGTCTCCCCTTCTCAGCTCAGGAGCAGTGGGTCAAAAGTGAGTCAGTGCTGGGGTGGGAGAGGCTATGAGGCTGCTGTGCCGGAAGTTCCCCAAGAGCCTTCCTCCTTCCACCACTTACCGGAGCCTTCATGCTGTTGCCGCTGCTCAGCAGCCTGGGGGCTGCTGTCTCCAGGGCTCAGGCTGGGAAGGGGTGGCAGCCAGGCACCTGCCAAGATCCAGAAACTCAGAGCTAGGTCCCAGGCCCCTGAGGAACCTGCCCAGGGAAACTGAGGCAGGGAAGGGTATGGGGCCAGGGTCAAGGCAAATGGCTTTCGGGAGTCAAACGCCTTAAAGTCCCCAAACACCGGACAGCGCTGTCCGCATCCTAAAAGACCTGGTATCAGGTGACCTTCGGGAAACCTCAAACCAACCCAATCCCCATTGTGCAGATGGAGAAAGAGAGGCAGGGAGGGGGAGCCCTCGGCTCAAGGTCACCCATCGAGTCTGGGTCAGTTAGAACCAGCAGCCTGGAGCCCCGACTGCCTCCCCATCCTTCCTACCTCCCTACGGGCGGGAGAAACGGAGAGGCCTGAGGCGGGATAGGACGAGAGATTTCCACCCCTCTCCCAGATTCCACCGCCCCTTCCCCCGGCCGGGAGCTAACCAGACGGGTAGGCTGGGGCGCTCCGGCTGTTCTCGATCCACCGCTCGGAGCTCCATGGCCCGCAAACCGGGCGGGCCGGGCTGGAAGCCTGAGCCCCGGGGCGGAGGCGGCACCGCGGCCGCGGCTTCTGGAGACTGGAAACCGAACGTGCGCCGCCGGCAGCGGGGGCGGGGTCTGCGAGGACGGGGAGGAGACAGGCGCGCTGGGGGCGGAGCCCGGGAAGAGGGAGGCGGGACCTACGAGCACCGCCTGCGCGGCTGGGGAGGGAAGTGCGTGGCTGGCGGCGGGGCCTCCGGGATGGGGGCGGGGCCTGCAGGCCGTGGGCGGAGCCGGAGCTCCCGCATCTCCCCTTTTCTGCCCAACCACGTTTCTCCCAAGCTCCTGCCGGGGATCCGAGAGAAAAGGCTCAGCGGGGGTGGGAACCAGGGCGCCTCCGTGGCTGCCTAGCCTTCCGGACTTGGGTTTCTCCATTTCTGAAATTGGGGGGGTGGGTAGGAAAATTAAGCAGGGGCTTGGGGTCAAGCAGCCCTGGGTTTCAAGCGGGTAGGGTTGCCAGATTTAGCAAGTAAAATACAGGACACTCAGTTATATTGGAATTTCAGATAAACAGTGTATAATTGTATTAAAAATCTGACTTTCCGGTGTAACGGGGCGTCTTGTATTTTCTCTGTCGACCCTAGCTGGACTGTCTCTGGTGGTGTGACCTACACCTGAGCCTCAGTTTTTCTCCTCTATGAAGTGGGGATAATAACAGCACCTACCTGCCAGTGGTACAGTGCAGAGCAGCTGTGACACTGTTAGGATTCGAACCCAGGGCAGTCTCACTGCCACGTAGTGGCCACCTATTTTCACCTCCCAAACACCCCCTCCCAAAATATATAAAATTTATATATAAAATATATATAAATATATAAAAATATATTTATTATATATAATATATATATATATAAAATATATAAAATATAAAACCTATATATATACATAGGTCTTACCTATGGAGGTCTTACCACCTCCACCACACCCACCTCCCTCTATGGGGCCTTCCCCTGGGATCCAGGCTAGGTTCCTGCTCAGACCCCATTTCAAACTCCATTCACCTTTTTCTCAAAGGCTCTGACGTGGGCACGATGCCAAGGTACCCACGTTCTGATCCACACCCAGATCAGCAACTTCCCAAGGCTACCTGCTCAGGTGCAAAACCAAGTCGGCCATGACTCTCCCCATCCTATTGCGGGGAGGGCATGCTGAGGCAAGCCCTGTCCCTGGGCCTCCTTTGAGCATGGGCCTACTTTGTCCCTGCACCCTAGCCTGGGCATAGTTCAAGGGTGGTGGCCCAAGTTCAAACTCTCTCTGTGGCCTCCCATTCACACAAGGCCAGGCACACAAAGCCTGAGTCCTTCTGCCCCTGACCCCCAGTCTTCATCCTTCATGTTTCTCTTCCTCATAGACTCAACCCTAAGGGGTCAGTTGTGAGAAATTCCCTACAGATCCATTCATTACCCACAATGTCTGGTGACCTGATGTGAGGATTCTTTCTCTAAAGAGGCAACACCCTCCTGGCCACATGGAAACAAGGATGTGCCCAAATGTCCTGGGCTCCCAGAGCAGATGAGAATCATAAATCCACAGTAGAACTGACACCGGGAAGTCCTGCAGGCTCAGATAAAGCTCTTCAATTTGGTTTTTGCAAAAGTCCACTCTTTATCCTGACCTACCAAGCCCTGTACAGTCTGAACTCCTGCTTTCTTCTTAATCACCATCTGCTCACCCTGGTCACCCTTCTGACCCCCAATCACACTGAGCTCATTCCTACCTCAGGACCTTTGCACTTGCTGTATCCTCTACCTGGACTGCTCTATTCACATAGCCAGCTCCTTCCGGCCATTCAGCTCAACTGTCACCTCTTCAGAAAGGCCCTGGCCAACTACTCTATGTGACACTGCCTGCGCATCCCTCTCAGTTTCACCTTGATTGGTCTTTTTCATAGTAATCATCCAGCACGATGTGCTAGATCATGTCTGTTGAATGAGCAATTTAGGACAACCAGGAGTCCTGGGCCCTGTGAGATCTCGGATAAGTCATGTCGCTCTCCAGCCTCAGGCTCTGGCTTAGCCCATTGTGAAAGACCCCAGCTAGGTGAGGGGCTGAGTCATGCTTATCTATGAGTGCAGGACTCTCAGGCTCCAGTCCTGTCAGACCCAGGGGAAATGTAGGGCCAGACCTTCTGTGCTGCCCCACAGCCACAGTTTCCTCAACCCACCCACCTCCTGAGTGATGACCTTAAGGCCTCCATGTCTCAACTTCCTGCTGAGCCCAAACACGAAATTCTCTGTGGCTTGTGCCAGTTCAGAGAGGTTGAATATCACCCAAGGTCACCCAGACAACTAGGGGTGAGGACAATTGTACACGCATTCCAGAAGCCCACACTCCAGGGCGGTGGCATTCAACTTCCCTTCCCTCTCCCTTCCCTCCCCACCATTTTTCTTCATTTCCTCTAAAGGCTAGTGGAATGGCAATGTTTGGTATCGGCTGAAGGGCTTTCCCAAGGTCAAGCTCCAGTCCTGGGGGGTCAGCTCCTGGCCCACAAAATCCCACCACCAACACACTGTCCCTTCCCACAGTGAGATGTTTCTCTCTCTCAAGTGTCAGGCGCTCTCTCTCACCCCAGACCTTTGCCATGACCTTGGCCTGACTCCCAGGGCTGCATCGGACTCTTCTGGTCTCAGTTAAAACGTTAGAGTCAAGTTGCTAGGTGGAGGCCCCTTCCCTCAGCACCATGGCCCCATGCTCCCTCATGAGGCTCTGTCACACTGGGCTGCTTTTGTCACAATCTCTCCCTAGACTGTGAGTTCTGTGAGGGAGAGAACTGTGGAATCTGTGGAATCTGTGGATCTTGCTCCCCAGGTCCCTACCACCCAGTAGAGGGCCTGCCACATAGTAGGTGCTCAGTAAATATTTAATGAGTTAACAAAGTCCACTTTCATCCTTTCCATTTTACAGATTCGACCACTGAAGCACAGAGAGGGCTAGCACCTTGCCCTGGTCACACAGCCAGGCCCCAGAGCAGCTCTAGAGGAGAAGCCCACTTGGGCATGGTTGGATTGGGCCAGGGTCAGAGGCCAGGCTGGAGGGTCCTGGAGGAAGGAGAAGGGATGATCAGGGGCTGTGCACGCACTGTGCTTCTTTGCTGCTGGTATTGTCTGCGCGGCCAGGCCCTTGGTCTGACCACCAACCCCTGTCCCCCTTTCACAGATGAGAAGAGTGACTTCCAGAGGAAGGAAGAACTTACTCAAGATCAATGGTGGGTCCTAACATAGTGTCTTCCAGAGATGCAGCCGCCCCCCCAAAACCTCCCCTTCTCCTGCCTGCATCCCTGGAGAAGCAGGAGCCACAGGAACCACCCCAAAAGGCCGGTGGACAGGAGGTAAGGAGACCTGGGATCTTGGGCTGGCCTTTCCACTTACCCATGGGTAAGCCCATTAAAGTCTCTGGGCCTCAGTTTCCCCATCTGGACGACAAAGGGGCTTGGCTGGAGCCTTCAGCCTACACCATTCCCCAGAGCATGAAGACAGGGCTAAGGGAGCTGGTGGGTGAGAATACAGGCTCCTGAGTCCAAAAGGCATAGTCGAGTCCTGGTTCCAGCATTTATTGCTGAATGATCTTGCTCAGTACCTTCACCCCCTGAGCCTCCAATTCATGGTCTGTAAAAAGAGAATAATAGCATTTTTTTTTTTTGAAGATTAATCGAGCTAATGTTGGGGAGTCCCTGGCACAACGCCGAACCAGTCATCACCACCAAATGAGGCTGTGTTGTCATGGTATTAGTTAGGGGATGCTGCCCTCTGGAGGCCAAAGGGAGGAACAGCAGGTGAAGGGAGGCCGACCCGCCGCCGGGGCCAGACTGGAACCCTGGTTCCCGGCGTGTGCCCATTGTCCAGATGCGAGAGAGCAACGGGCGCGGGTCACTCGGTATGAGCCTCCACCCACTGGCAGAGGCGACGGGCGTAGCGAGCGGGGCTGACGGTGGAGAAGGTCCGACCTGGGTAGCGCAGCGTCTTCCATAAATGCTCCAGCCGCTTGCGGAGCCCGTAGACCGTAGAGAGATCCACGAGACCCAGGAAATAGCGTTGCTCCGGCCCGTCCAGGATGTGTAAGGCGTTGGGGGAGTCGGGCAGCAGCCGGCGGTTCTGGGATTCCGGCTCCTCCGGGCTCTGCACCCCTCGCACAGACCTGGCGGCCGACAGGTGGGTGAGGCTACCGCCTCCTCCGGGGGGGCCCCAGCCAAAGGGTTCCCGCAAGCGTAGCCCCGGCGCGCCCGCGGTGATTCTGCGCTGACCCTGCGCTTCCTCCGCTCATTCCCACAACTCCTGTGTGCCAGGCCTATGACGTCAGATGAACTGGGAGGCCGAGTAAAGTGTGGATGATGGTCTAGAGTCGCACCGTCCAATACGTAGCCACTAGCCATATGTGGCCGTTGAGCATTAAACTGCGGCCAGTCCCAACTGGGATACGCTCTAAGAGTAAAATACAGACTGAATTTCCAAGACAGTATGAGAAAAAGAATGTAAAATACCTCATAAATGTTTATATTGATTAGATGATGAAACGATAAAATTTGGGGTGTATTGAGTAACAAATATATTCTTACAATTAGTTCTACCTGTTTCTTTTTACTTCTCTAAAGAGGCTGCTAGACAATTTAAAACCACATGTGTGATTCGCGTTACATTTCTGTTGTCTAGAGCATTTGGGTCACGCAGACCCTGGCTCTGCATTTTATCCGCCGGGTCACTTTGGGCAAGTCTGGTGTTGGGGTATTTCCCAAACTTCTGTTTGGGGTCGTCCATCTCTGGAGGTTTCGGGGTGGCAGAGCTGAAAGAAACCTTGTGAACAAAGTCCAATTCCGGTTTATAGGTGATGTGTGTGTTGGGGGATGGGATGCCTTCCAAATGTATTCCAAATCCGAAGATGCCTTTGGCTGGGTCCCAGTCCCAGCCCAAAGCAGGTTCAATTCCCTATTTCGTCCTCTTGGAGGTGGAGGGAAGTTGGGGAAGTGTCGCGGAGGGAAATAAGCCAATGAAAGACAGGCCCTGCCCAGGCATCGACCAATCAGAACCCAGTGGTGTGGGAGACTGGGCAAACCGCTAGTGTCCTTTGCATTGCGGTGCGGTGCGGTGCTGGGAGGGGGCGGGGCGCGGTCTTTTTCTGAATGGGGGGCTGGGAACTGGTAGGAGTGGGGCTGGAACAGTGGCAACTTACCAGCTAGCAAATTTCAATATGACAACAACCACTATATGCAAACTAGGGTTTACTGGCTGAATGACAGCTGTAATCTAAGCCCCAGATGGGGGCAGAGGGCAAGGCAGAAGCTGACCTAGTTTGGATGGGCAGACTTGGCTGGGGACCCGTCTGTGCCCCATGGCAGGAATTTCACCCTCTGGTCAGGATGTGGTCAGGCCAGCCACAGGGCTGTGGGGAGCCGTTAATCTGGGCTCTGCCCAAGCCTCACCCATCCCAAGGTCTTCCTCCAAAGGGTGGGTTCGGAGGCCAGATGAGAGGACATCACCTTTCACTTTTCTTTTCCACCCACCAGATGGTTGGGCTTCTTTCCTGAATGTGCCTTCCTTAACCCCTACTTAATCCTGTTCAGTCACAAAGGTGGGCCTTGGAGGATTGAAATCAAAGCAACCAACCTAGGACTAACATGAATCCTCAGAAGTCATTCTACAACCTCACTTCCCGTCTCTGAACCTCGCTTATCACGTCTCTAAAATGGGAAGGAGCCCACCTTAATGAGGCTCGTGGCCAGCATGCAAAGAACAGTTGCTACTACAAGGCAGGGGGACACCATGATGATGGTGCCCATGGTGATGACCCCAGGGTCCTAGAAGTAGAATTAACGGGTTAAAGGGCAAGGGCTCCTTCTAAAGTAAAAATTAAATAGGTCTGAAAACTGTTCTGAAATCTTCCATGGCTCCACACCCCTTCAGGAAAGTGGGCAGATTCTTTAAATCAGCATCGAAGTCCTTGTCCAGCTGGATCGCCCCTGTTCTGTCCTCTGCTGCTGTCCGCATGTGTCCCCCCCACCCTGCCAGCCGGGCTTCTCCAGTCCTTCACCCTACGCGTGGACACATGCACACACGGACACACAAACACTGCACTTTCCAGTCTCTGAGCCTTTGTCTGTACTGTCTTCCCACCTCACCGCCCGCCGTTCTCAGGCTCCCGTCACCTCATTCTTGCCCTTGCCCTGTAGGGGGGCCCACCTGGCTGTGCGGAAGATGAGGCTGCTGCCCGGGCCCCTCTCATCCTCGTGGAGGTGCTGGAAGGCCATCAGAAGGCTGTAATCCAGCACGTTGAGCTCCCGGAGGAAGGCGGTGTCCAGTTCCATCTGGTGGAGGAGCCAGCTCCGCTGGGGCCCTGCCAGAGCATCAGTGCCCCCACCTGAGTGCTCATCGTGTGCCAGGCAAGGTGCTGAGGGCTCCACACATTACTGCCCCACGTCACAGATGAGGAAACTCACCTGCAATTTGCCCTGGTCACCTAGTTAGTAAGTCGTGGAGCTAGGATTTGAACTCTGCTCTGCCTGACTCTAGACCCTGGGCTCCTAATGACTCAGGCAGAGGGCAGGCTAGGGACACCCTTCTGACTCCACCCGCAATGGAGAAAGAGCAGCCACTGACTGTCCCCATGGCTCACCCAGGTCGATGGTCTTGCCTTGAAAGTTGAGGTCCTTCAGCACGAGGACAAGAGGGCTACCCTCAGGGGCTGGCTCCACCCATCGGCTCACCTCACAGCCCTTTATATCATACCTGTGAGGGGGTATGACAGAAAGGGGATGACAGAATTCAGGTTGACACAGACTGACACACACAGGGAACCAAGAAACAAGAGCTTCCACTGGGTGGATGTTCAAATCCTCAGCACAACCCATTCCATTATTGTCCCCATGTCACAGATGAAGAAAAAGGCCCAGAGTTTTCTTCGACTGGCCCACACAGTAAGTAAAGAATAGAGCGGGGGTGGGGGGGGGGCACCTGGGTGGCTCAGTCGGTTAAACATCCGACTTCAGCTCAGGTCATGATCTCGAGGCTTGGGGGTTCCAGCTCCGCATCACATTGGAGCCTGAAGCCTGCTTCAGGTTCTGGGTCTCCCTCTCTCTCTGCCCCTCCCCGCTCTCACTCTTTCTCTCTCAAAAATAAATAAAATATTTTTAAAAATTAATAAATAAATAAACTAAGGGAAAAAAAAAAAAAAAAAAAGAAGGCAGAGCAGGAATTTGAACTCAGGCCTTTGGAAGCCCAGTTCAGGCTTTACCCCTGCTTGTGCCTGCCTCTTAGCACCCTGTCATCCCTGGAGGTGTTCCAGACACAGGCATCCAACCCTAGACAGCAGCACCAGGAGGGCTTGAAGGAAGTCCGTGGCCCCAGGGGAGCACTAATGGAGACCCTGCAGGCAGAGTCGGGGTTAGGAGGCACAGAGGCCATGTGAAATAAGAGGCTGGGTTCGAATCCCTGTTCCTCGCAGAGTAGCTGGCCCTCCTTGTCCTCAGCTTCTCATCTATAAAATGGGCATGATAACCACACCTGCCCCTCAGAACCGTTCTGGAATAAAGAAGGCAATGAATGCGAAGACTCGAGTGCCCAGTGCATCCTGAGTGCTCAAGAGACGCTGGTCGTGCCTAGCACTGTCTCTGATCCATTAGGAGACCTTGGGGATGCCCCTTCTCCTCCCTGGCCTCCAGTTTCGCATCTATCTAGGGGGGGATGGGTGCTGCAGGTGGCACGTCCCGCGTGGGGCCGGGGCCCTGTGAGGCGACTCACCTCTCAGAGATGCGGCCGGCGGGATAGAAGACGCTCTGCATGATGATGAAGAATTTCTGGGGACGGGGGTAGGGAGTGAGGGAGGACAGGATCTCACCCTCCAGCCGCCCCCTCTGACCCGGCCCCCTCGCCTCGGCCTCACCCACCTTCTTTCCCCGAGCCACCCGCAGACTGTGCACTCCTGGAAGGGGAGAGGGCGCCAGGTGAGGGGCCCCAAACTCGACACCCCTGGGCCCATCCCGCCCTAGGCCCGGCGCCAGGCCTCGCCTCCTTCTCGAGGTCCACCGCCTCCCGAGCCCGCCCCTCCAGGCCGCGCCCCCAGACCTCTTCCGCGGCTTGGGTAGAGGTCCCGACTGGGCCCGGCTCTAGGCAGCCCCAGAGATGCGCGGTCCTCAGGCGTGACTCCATCCACACACCCTCCCCACAAGGGACTGTCAATCGACGCCGCCCCCTTTAGGCCCCGCCCATCCAAACACCACCTTTCCCCTACAGGAACATCTAGGACACGCCCCCCACGGAACTATCCGCGGCCGGCGGATCGGTTCCCTCCGCCCCGCTCGGGCTCAGATCCCCTACCCCCCCCCCCCCCCGGGAACCGCCCCACTCCCTACCCTCCTCCTCTGCTCTCTCTTCCCTCCCCCAGCCCCGCAGTCCCGGGTTCCTGGCCGGTCGTACCCAGCAACCGCGCAAGCAGCGAGTGCGGATGCCGCTGCAGGTGCTGCACGTAGCGGGGCAGGTGGGCGAGCAGCGCCCGCACCTCCCGGCGGCGCTGGGTCTTCAGGAAGAAGCGTTGATCGTGGCTGGGGTGGAGGGAGAGGTCACTGGTCAGGCAGGGCTGGAGCGGCCCCCATCAGGCCCTCTGCCCGAATGTGTATCTGTCTTCCCAGGCCCCGGTGGAAGGTCTCCCCACCTCCACCCTTGTCACCTCCCGTCCTCCCTCTCCTCCTCCGTCTGATCCCTACCTGCCCCTGGCCCTCCCCGACCTTGCCATCCTGTTTCTCTTCTCCGCCTCCCCCCCCCTTCACCCAAGAACAACACTCCCACCCCTTCCCCACCCCTGCTGCCAGCTCACGACAGGAAGAAGCTGGCCTTGCTCTTGGAGGTGCTGAGGAACTGCAGGTAGGGGCCACCTGGGCCTAATGCCGCCTGATAGTCTCCCTCAGCCAGGCCTAGGGAGTGGCGTAGCCAGGCGAAGGCCGGGCCGGCCAGGGTGCCCAGCTCGAAGCCCTGCAGGGGAGGAAAAGCAGGCCCAAGAGTGTCCACGGGGGCCAGGTGTGTGCAGTTGGCCCTAGCGTGGGAGGGTCAGGGTAATCACATCCTTCCCACAAGGCCCTGAGGCAAGTCAGCACTCCCACTGCACGAAGGGGGAGACCGAGGACAGAGAAGGAACACCAGTACACGCCCCTCCCGTGCAGCAGTCTTGGGCTTCCTACCTCATGAACCTGGGTCAGGACCTCGGAGAAATCCTCCTCGGTGGGTGGTCCCTACAGGGAGGGGTGGAGGGGTTCAGGGCAAGTCTCAGCCCCAGGATCTCCAAGAGCCCTGCCTCTGGCCTCACCCCCTTTCCACAGTCTGATTGCTCCAGCCAACCAGCACCAGAACTCAGAGCCTGGCCCATTCACCCAGATGCACGTGTTGGCCAAGTGAAGCCGGAGGCCATCCCAGTGAAAGGGGATGGCCTTGAAGCCAAGGGACCTGCCTGACTCAGTGTGAGAGAGGCAGGATCAGGGAAGGCTTCCTGGGGGAGGTGACCTCTAAGCTGAAATCTGAAAGGTGGTGGAGAGGACGTGCCTGGTGCTCACAGCAGGGGGAACAGCACTGGTGGCCACCGGGAAGAGCAAGAGGGCCCAAGTGGTTGCAGTAGGTAAAGGAAGGATGGAGTATGGATGCAGCTGGACAGCTGGCTCTTGGACTTGAGCCAGCAAGGTCCTGAGGCCATGCTGAGTACTGGGGAGCCATGTTAGATTGGCAGCAGGCGATGAGAGTTAGAGGACTTCTTGTCGGGCTCTGACACTCTTCCTGGACCTCTAGGTCCATGTGCCAGGACTTGGCCTATGGGCTGTGGTCACACTGTGCACATGTGTGCACACACACAAACAACACACGTGCTTGCTCGGGCTCCGTCCAGCTGCTGAGCTTGCAGTTGGGCGACCCTTTCTGCTGAGCCAGCCTGGCCCCAGCCTGAGCTCCGGGGAGGATGGGCCAGGCTGGCAGGGTGGGGGTGGGGTCCTTTCTCAGCCATGCACCCTAGCAGAGCTAGGAGGGCCTCAGAGACCAGGGAATACAGTCCCCCCTACCCATTATACAGATAGGGACTCTGAGGCCCAAAGAAGAAGAGGCCCAACTAGATCACACACCAACCACCTGGGTTAAGGGGGCCTTCACCTCCCCAACACACACTGGGCTGTGTGGCTTCCTGGCCTCAGCCCCCACCCCAGCATGTCCCTCTCTGCACCCCAAGCCCCTGATTTCCTCCTCTTATAGCCCTCTCATCCCCAGTCCTGCAGTATTAACAAGACAGGGCATCGGCGCGGTCTTGCCCTTGGTACTGTTGAGGTGCATGGCACAGATCAGCCACTCACTGTGGGTGGGTGGTCCATGGAGACCTGAGTGGCAGCCCACAGCCCTGCCTGCATCATACATGTCAGCTGGTGCAGCTCATGCCCCGGGCCGATCTCAAACAGGCCAAGGCGAGCCTGCTTGTCTCGTAGACGCCAGAGGAGGCCACGGCGGCCAGAGGTCGAGGTGGCTGGTCTGCATCCAGCCTCTGGGGAGGGGGCCAGGACCTGGTGGCAGGAAACACAAGAAGCAGTGAGCACACAGAAGCATTCCAGAGGGGAAAGACCTGGGTTTGCGTCCCACCTCTGGTACTCGTGAGCCCTCCTGTTATCACTCTCTGCCTCCGTTTCCTCGGTTGCAAAATAGGGAGAATGCTGGTACCCACCTCACTGGGTGTTGTGATGGGCCGCCCAGTGCCTGGCATGCAGTCAGCACCCAGAATAGAACGATGGTTATTATTATCAGTAGGTAGAGAATGCTTTCCGCAGACAAACCTGTCTCTCACCAGCTGTGTGATCTTAGGTAAGTCACCTAACCTTTCTGCATCTCGTTTTCTCCTCTGTAAAATGAGAACTATAATAACTCCTTCGTGGCAGTTTGAGCTCCATGCCCAGGAACCCTTGATAGTAGGAGCTGTGACGCCAGGGACGGGGGCATCTATTCGACTGGAGTTCCTCCAGGCCGAGCGGAGGGTCAGCATGAAGCTGAGCTCGCAGCAGCTGACCCATTAGTAGTGGGCACCCACCATGTGCCCAGCACTGGCTGAGAGTCTGACTTCCTGACAGCCCTATGAAGGAGGAGCTTTTATAATCACCTCCATTTTCGCGATGAGAAAACTGAGGAAGTTCTCTGGGGATAACCGCCAGACTTCCCCGGCATACCTGCGGCCCCCTGTGGGGCGTGTCCTGGTCCCCGCCCAGGGCAGGACCCCTCCGGGCCTTGGATTGGGGGTCTGTGTCCGCGCTACCCTGGGAGGGGAGGCCTGGACCCTGACCCCCAACCCTTTCCTCTCCTGTCCTCTTTTGGGTCCGCACCTACCTCGCGGGGCCCCGGGCTCGGCGCGGCCATCACCCCCGCAGCAGCTTCCCGGGCTCTGGCCGTGTCCCCGCCGCCGCGCTGCAGGAGCGGGTCCCCGCCCCTGCTTCTGGACCGACCAATAGCGCGGCGCCGGTCACCGCTGCACCCAATCCGCACGGGAGGCGCCGGGGATCGCCTGCGGGTCCCGCCCCCGGGGCTGCAGCATCCTTCAGACCTCGGTCCAGGCCGGGGCGGGGCCGCCGCGCATTGCTTCAGGTCGCCAGGAGGGAAGATCCACCCCCCCCCCCCCCCCCCCCCCACCTCAGTTCGTCTCCTGAAGTGGGGGATTCGGGTCTCGGGGCCTCATGGGAAGGCGGGAAACCTAAATCCACTCCGGCCCACCCACTCTGGCGTGAAATCCCCACCGACTGCCTTTCGGGTGAGAAAACTAAGGTCCGGAGACAGAAGTGAGTATCTCCAGGTCACACAGGAAGTCCGGGGCACGCATTCATTCAGGGCATATTTTGAACACTCCCTTTGGGCCAGGGCTAGTGCTAGGCCCTGGGGATTCAGTGGTGAGAGGGAGGAACACAGCTGCCAGCGTGATCTTTTAAAAGCATAAATCGGATGATGTCACTCTCATGCTTAAAACCTCCAGTGGCTTCCCCCTGCACTGGAACAGAATCCACACCCCTCGCCCCGGCCATGGCCCCAGGCCCATCTCAAACCACTCTCCCTACACCCACCACACAGCCACAGGCCGCCTCCCGCCCCCCCCGCTGGTCCTTAGGAATAAAATTCTTCCACACCTGGGGCTTTTGCAGGTGCTGTTCCCATTGCTTGAAATCCTTTCCCCTAGGCTCTCATTTGCCCTATTCTTTCTTGTGACCTTGACTGACTCGAAGTGTCCCCAACTCTCATGCTTTTCACATCACCTAGTTTTAATTTTCTTCATCACACTCAACACTGTAGGAAATTGACTTGTGCATTTATTTCTTATATCTCCCCCCCCCCCCCCCCCCGAATGGGACCACGAGGAGGCAGGAACCAGGCTGGACCCATTTCTTGGCTTGGTACCTGGCACAAACCAGTGTTTCACAAGTATATGTTGAACCAATGTGAGTAGGATGTGCAAAGGGCCTCTGAGTGCAAAGGGCCTCGGTGAGTCCCAGCCAGGGTAGCTGGAATGAGGAATCGAACAAGCGACCATGCAGGCTCTCTTAGGCCATCTTAGGGAAGGGGAGTGGAGAACCCAGACAAGCATTCTAAATGTGTATAAGAAAGATGCTCAGATGTTCTAGAAAGGCCATGGTTGTCATGCATAGTCACATTGGAGGGAGCCAGAGTGGGTGGGTGGGCTGGGGGGGGGGGGGAGCGGGTAAGGAATCTTTTGGTGACTTAGGGTAGAGGCTGGTGGCTTTGCATCAGGAAGGTGACTGGGGTGGGGGAGGGAGAGAAGGGGAGAATTGCCAAGATTTGAGGTCATGTGGATGGGGGCTTGGAGAAGGAAGGGCAGAGATGTCTGCCAGGCTTCTGGCTGGGGTTAGGGTCACAGGATGATGCCAGTCACGGAAGGGGGCGAGGCATGAGGGGAGGTCCCGATTGCTGAGAGGGCGTCTGAGAGCTCAGATCATCAGGCTTCATCTGAGGTGCCACTACGACATCCAGTGGCAGTTAGCTGGTGCATATGCAATACACCGGGGCTTGGGAGGCGAGCCTGGATGAGGACAAGGCCACCCAGGACATGTGGGGAGAAGGCTCGCGACCAAGTCCCAAAGAGCCCAATGTTGTCTCATGGCAGAAGTGGAGCATGAGGCAGGAGTATGAGAATGGGTCATCACAGACACTGAGAGCATCTGAGGGTGCGTCCAGGGGGATGTCACAGACTAACATGGGGTCACTGGTGGTCGGAGTGGATCTAGCCCTCCAGGAAGGATGCCGAGCACAGTGAAGGTGAGGAAATCCAGGCAGCAGATGTGGACCCCCTTTTCGGAATTTGGCTACGAAGGGGAGAGACCTGGAGGAAATTACTCCGTTGATGGACAGTCCTTCATATGGAGGCCTGGGGGTGCTCGTGAAACCGAGGGAGGACCCCAGTGAGAGGCAGTGGCTGTTCCAATGAGGGGGGACCATCAGAGACACGATACTCCTGTCACAGCAGGGGGAGAGGACAGAACCCGAAGCTCAGGTCGTAGCTCTGCCTGGACTGGAGGACAGGGGGAAGATGGGCCAGGGGAGGGAAGGGGAGGTGTGCCCGCAGTCGGCCTCTGTTCTCAGATGAGGGAGCCGCCCCTGCTGACTAGAGTGAACATCCAAGGCGTGACAGAGCCTTAAACTAGGAACTGTGGACGGGAGCCTTGGCTGCGCGGGGGGCGGGGTGGATTCCCAGGAGACAGGGCTGGGCCTGCGCCTGATCAGTCAACCTGGCCACAGCCAGCCCTGCTCTGGTTCCTCCAGCTCTCACTGCCCAGAGCCATGCTAGGTTGGGCTGCTGGGTATAAGAGACGGACAATGGACTTGGCCTTTTAGGGGACTGGCCTGAGGGTCCCTAAAATACTAGTGCGCGCTAGCTGGGCTGGCACAGGGGAGGCTCAGTACAGGCTGATGTGGTTGGCATCTGGCACACTGCCGTGCCCCCACCGAGCTCCCATCTGTGGGCTGCACCTGTCTGGATCCACATCTGTTTCTGTCCCCACTTGATCCTGTGTCCAGCACAGGGACAGTCTGGGAGGCGCCTGAGGCACCCTCATTGCACAAACCAGGGTCTCCCGACCTGAGACCAGCCCCTCTCCAGTTCCTGAGCAGCCCGGCTTCCCTGGTCAGGGATAGCACAGAGACAGACACATCATCTGTGTTTATTGTTCAGCTCTCCCCAGTAGGCTAGCGCTAGGGCTGGGGGACTGGGCCTCTGTGAGGAGCAGTTGGTCTGGGGGCCCCCTGTGGCCACCCTAATGTGCCCCGAGGCCTGGTGGTAACCCTAGGGCCTGTCAGTCCTCCCCTTAGGCTTTCCAGGTCCAGAAGTCCTTATGGGGCCTGGGGCTGTGTCAGACCTGGGAAAGCTGCCTCTGATGAGGAGCAGGACGTGTGGGGAAAGGTCACATGACACCTCAGAACCTGCCAAGTCCAACATCAGCAGGTGACAAGAGGGACAGTGAAACAAGAGGGTGGGACCCTGAGGAAAAGGTGACGGGGAGCCCGAAGGCGAGGTGGGGACAGCCAGCATATTTCAGGCCCTGAGCCAGAAAGGGGTGAGAGGGAGGCTTCCAAGTAATCCTCCCTCCTGGCTTCCGGAAGGTTGAGCAGGGGAGGAGCAGGCCTGTGTGGTCAGTCCTAAACAGCTCCATCCCACCAGGATGTGTTCAGGGCAGCCAGGCTTGAGGGGGGCCGCGGTGCCTGGATGCGTCCTATGTGCCCCCACCTCTGGAGGGGAGGCAGAGGAAGGGCCGGCAGCCTCAGCCCCACTGGGCCTTCACTGAGCCTTTTTGGTCACTTTCTGGTTCTTCAGCATCACGTAGGTGATGAACACTCCTGGAATACACAGACCAGAAAGGCCGCGTGAGATCTGGGCTCGGGGCTGCTGGGAGGCCAGAGCAAGGCCCAGCATGGTGGAAGTGACCCGCACGCGGGGCCAAGCACCCGCCAGGCCAGAATCACCTCCCTGGTCCTTCCGCAAGCCACACGTCTACCCACATGTGTTCAACAAACACCACCAGAGCACCTACCCCGGGCAATTTGCCATGTTTAGGGTTTTTGATTCTGCAGGGAACAAACCCACCCGATGATCCGTCTACTCACCCAGTCAACCACCTGTCCGCCCACCCACCTGCCTAACCCACATCCACCTCCCACCCCACCATCCAGTCATCCAGGTGACTCATGCAAACTGCTTTCTTAAGCACCAGCTCAGGGCCACAGCCTGTTCCAGGAGCTGAGGACATAATAATGATGATGAAGACACACACTAAACCCCGGGGGAGACAGAGAGGGGCAGGAATCATGAGCCAGTGGGTGACGAGGGGGTAAGAGGCGATCGAGGTGTGCACAGAGTGATGATGGTGGTGGTGGAGGGAGCGGGGGTGGGAAAGGGAGACACCCCACTGGGGCCATCCCATTTGAGACCAATGAGCCTGAGGCATAGGGAAGGCCAGAGGGGCTACTGACTAGACAGTCTTGAAGGATGAACAGGAAAATCCCAGGGGATAACTGGGGGAGGGGGGCGCAGCAGGGAGCCTCAAGCAGGTGGACAGCAACTGGCAAAATGGGGAAGCATGTTCAGGGATGGGAGAGGGTTGTGGGAGTTCCCAGCAGACGCCCTGCTCAGCGTTGAGGGAGTGATAACTTACCCACAAACAGGAGCAACAGGAGGCCAGCGGCCAGTGGGATGGCGACAGCGTAGGCCCGGGGCAGGAAGTACTTGTGGACGACATGTTGGCTGTCAATGAACGGCTGGTATCGAGGGCAGAGCTCTGGTGAGCATTCCTTGTCTTGCCCAGGCCTTCAAGCCCAAACACCACCACCCCCTCCATCTCCGGGGCTGAGCCCAGTCAGTGCACTGGTATAGCACCTGCTTTGCTTTAAGATGATGGCATTTGGGGAGTTCGGGTTTGTTTCCTTCATTCACTTACTGAACAGTTGTTCCGTGGGCACTTGCCTGGTGCCTGCCCTAAGTTGGTGCTGGGGACCCGGCAATGAACAGAAGAGGAGGGACTTGCCCTAAGCCACTCACGGCCCAACACCGGGCAAAGGCACGTGAGGAGTTCTCAAGTGGGCTCCAGGTTTTCTTTACTAACATTTCCCTCCAAAGTTCTGCAAGATTTTGCCTTCCAACCACCCTGCGCTTCTTAAGCAGTAACCAACCAATTTTCCAACAAGAAAAAGAAACAAAAACAAAAACCTAAAGGCCCTCACAAAATCCGCTGGCATTCATCATGCCCAGGGGCGAGCAAGATAACCGGAAGGACGAGAACTCCAATCAAAGGCAAAAGCAAATCAGTAACAGGGCCGTACAGTGTAGTGGTTAAGGGCCTTAAGGGTAGCGGTTCTCGCCGAGCCTTAGCTCCCTCAACTGTACACTGGGACACCTCTAGCATCGTCCTCATAGCGCTGTTCTGGAGATTTCACGAGACGAAGCAGGTAAAGCGCCTAGCACCGTGCCCGGCACACAGCAGCTTAAATGGGTGCTAGGGGTCGGCTTCAAGATCCGGGGGTGGAAGGTAAGACGAAGGGCGGGGGCAGCACACATACCAAGAGAATCACCCAGGCGGTGTAGTAGGTGAAGATGATCAAGCTAATGGCGACGAGGCCGAGTCCCACCACCTGGTCTGTCCCCGTGGCCTGGAGAAAAGGAGGGCTCAGCTGACGAAGTAACTCCCCCTTCAGGTGCACTACTGGCGGGGTGGCGTCGCAGCCTGCTTACGCTAAACTCCCCATTCACTCAACAGCCGCAGACAGGCCTGACGAGTATCACTCTGCGGGCTGGGCGGATGCCGGGCCGCGGGATTTTCACTCCTTCAGTGGGCCGGCGGGAGAACGAGCCATCCCGGCTCCGAGTGCCCAAGCCCCCGCTCCGCGCCAGACCCCACTCCCAGCCGCCTCCCGCCCCCCGCACTCGGTCCGGTGCTCACCATCTCCCCGGCGATCCCTCCCTGGAGCCACAAGCCACAGCGCGCTCCGGGTCCGGGCTCTTCTGGCCTTGGGCCGC